TGCGACAGGTGGCCGGTGACGTCGTTCCTCCTTTCTGCTCCTCCCCCCTCTCCTCCGAATGGCACTCGTTATTTCAGTTGGTGTTGGGTGTTGGGTCCTCGTTTTGCGGAAACCTCCCCCGCGTCTCCTCCTCCTCCTCCTCCGCTGTTCTTCCTCCCACCCCTCCCTCCTCCCCCCTTGCCATTTGCCTCCCTCCGCATGCGTCCTCGCAAACTCGTTCGGCACTCCCGACACTCCCCTCACTTTGGCACATCCTCGCACGCTTCGTGGCCCCATTGGAAGCTCCACCGAAAGGCCCCACTGACGTGGTTCGCATGCCGCCCCCCCTCCACTTTGGCACACTTCTCACACGTTTCGTGGCCGCGCAAAGAACCCCACCTAAGGCCCCAGTGGCACGGCCCACGTGCCGCCCCCCCTCCACTTTGGCACACCCCTCACAAGTCTCGTGGCCGCACAAAGAGCTCCACCAAAGGCCCCAGTACCACGGCCCACGTGCCGCCCCCCCCCCACCCCGGCACACCCCTCACACGTTCCGTGGCCCCATAGGGAGCTCCACCGAAGGCCCCAGTGGCATGGTTCGCATGCGTTCCCTCCACCCAGTACAACGCTTCGCGGCCCCAGCGGAAGCTCCATCGAAGGCCCCAGTGGTGGTGTTCGCATGCGTTTTCCATACGAGATGCAACGTTTCGTGGCCCCACAGGGAGCTCCACCGAAGGCCCCAGTGGCGGTGTTCGCATGCGTGTCCCCCGCCCAGTAAAACGGTTCGTGGCCCCGTAGGGAGCTCCACCGAAGGCCTCAGTGTCGGCGTTCGCATGCTTTTCCCCCTGTTCAGTACAGCGCTTCGGTGCCCCACAGGGAGCTCCACCGAAGGTCCCAATGGCAGTGTTCGCTTGCGTTTCCCCCGCTCAGTACAGCGTTTCGGTGCCCCATAAGGAGCTCCACCGAAGGCCCCAGTGGCGACCCCGCCCCATTCCGGTGCCCCACTCGCACGCTCCGCGGCACCGTAGTGGGTTCCGCCCAAAAGCTCCAATGGCAGCGCCCACACGGCGGCCGCAGCCGATCTCGGCACACCCTTCGGATGCTTCGTGGCCCCATGAGGAAATCACCCGAAGGAGATACCCGCAACGACGGTACTCACAACACTGCATATGGTTGTGTCCTTCGTAAGGACACTCGTTTATTTTCTAATGTGGTTGCTCTTGCAGGTGAACTCTTGAACCGAGATTGAGTTGGTACCGTTAGTTGGGTGATTGGGGCCTCTCCATAGCTTGAAGTGGCGTCGCGTGATGATTACAGGCGTTAGGAGTAGTGCTGCGAAGACCCCAAGGTTACAAACATTGTTGACTCTTCGCGCATCACCACCAAGCCATCCAGATACGATATCCCGGAGAGTTGGGATGACCAGGGAAGTGTAGGAGCAAGACTAGGGGCAACCCTTCTGTCGAATGAGGAGGTGAATGGAGGAGCAAATGGAAGACGAGGAGAGGAGAAGGAATAGGCAAACTAGAAGCAAGACAGGGGCGTCTTGGATTCCTGGGGGCTTCCTTGGCTGCCTCTTAGGTTGTCTTGGATGCCCTGTGGAAGTCTCGGGAGCCCCTTGGGGCGTCGTGGGTGCCGTTGAGGGGGGCCTCTTGAGGCATCGTGGGGCCGTTTAAACAATCATGGGGGCATTTTGGGTGCCTCTTTGGGGTTCTCTTGAGAGCCCTGGAAGCCCTCTTGAGGCCATCTTGTAATACATCGATCAAAGAAGGGGGGGTCCTTACTTAGCGTCCTCCCTCTAGGCCTCAACGGAATTGGGGGCCATCGTGGAACGCTCTTGGAACGCCATGGGGGCCGCCGTTGGGCCCTCCTGGGCCTCTCTTGGCGCCCTGTTGGAGCCACCTTGAGGCTTCGGAAGGCCATCGGAAACACATAGGCGAGAACGCAAAACACAACATTGATATTCCTTTGGCCTCGGAACAGACTTTGACCGCCTGGCGTCCGAAATGGGCACGACGACCGCGCCCGCCCCTAGGCCCCAAGTACATCGTCAAGTCCCGCCCCATCGCGATCCTCTCCGTTGTCGCCATCGTCACCGTCAGCATGTTGAGTGCGAGGCAAATGGACAGGAAGGGCGGACTGCCGAAGGCAGACCTCCTGCCGTGCGTTTGAGTATCTGTGTCCAAGGTCGACTAAGACGTGCGACGGCACCAGGCTTGTAGATACTCGACCAGTCCCAGTGTAACAACCAGCGCGAGCGGGAACGACGGCTGACCCGTGCCGGCGACCAGGTTCACCTGGAAACAATTTGGCGCAGCCGCGCAGCCAGCAGCGAAATGGCGCCTGGCTCCCAGAAGGATCTGCCGCTGGATCCACGCCAGGCGAGAGGCAACGACCATGGCAGCACGGGGGAGGCGGAGGGGAGGGAGGGCGCAGGTGCACCCCGAAAGCCACGGGGACAGGCAGGCGCCTGAGCCAGAGTGGCCAGGCGGAGAAGGAGGAGGAGGAGGAGGAGGAGGAGGAGGAGCGCAGCGTAGAGGAGAGGTGCCTCCGACCGACCACTGTGCTCAGCTCAACAGCTGAGCACACCTCTCCACACTCGAGTGACTGGCTTCGCCAGCGACCAGAGCGGAGGAAAGAGAAGCATGGGCGGCGGCAGCAGGCGGCGAGGCGGGCGGTGGGCGCCTGCCTATGTCGTTCATCACGTGCATGTGGGCAGCGAGCCATGTTTCAATCATAGCCGCGGAGGAGGAAGAGGAGGAGGAGGAGGAGGAGGAGGAGGAGAAGGAGGAGGAGGAGGAGGAGGAGGGGGAGGGGAAGGAGTCAGGAGGAGGGGGAGGGGGACAAGCTAGGTGCGCTCGCGTCATATCTGACGTCCTACCCCTCCCTCCTATCCCTTACCATGGTGTAGTTCTCTCTATTCGCACAGTCGGACGTCGTAGCAGGGCATAGCATTACATGGCATAGCATGGTGTTGAAGATCAACGCGTAGCCTGGCACAGCATGGCGTGGCGACGGCCCAAAGTGGGGGGCTTCTGCGGCCCCAAAAATCAACGAATCGACAACGAATATGGAATCACTTCCGATCATTGTTTCGGGGGGGGGGGCATTTTCTGGATTTTGGGCCTATTTGGAAGGACCGAAAACCATGCCGTGGCATGGCGCTGGAAATGATGACGCCAACGCTGCAGCGGGAGCACGATTCGGAACGAGCGGAAGCGCGGAAATGAGGCCAGCGCTGCAGCGGGAGCACGATTCGGAACGAGCGGTAGCACGAAAATGAGGCCAGCGCTTCAGCGAGAGCAGCATTTTGAAAAAATCAAGCGAAAACCCGTTTCCCGGAAACCCGGTGTAAAAAACCATACGCGGAGGGGGGCCGGATATTTCCCGGACGTCGCCAGGGGAGAGAGGAGAGTAGTACTCATATTGTGCAACTGTGGAGGATGCAGAAGAGGAGGGGGAGAAGGGAAGGCGGGGAACACATTCTCTTCATGGGGAGCCCGCCCCGCTCGGCACGCCCCGTCCCGTCGGGGGCGGCCTGCTCCTGCCAATGCATGGCCAGCGTGCCGCGCCGAGGCAGCTCAACCGCGAACTCGTCGCTGGGAATGTAGGCACCTCGGGGCGGAGGGGGGGCCTATTTACTCATCTTCGCCGTTCTCCTGCTCCCTCCTCCTCGTCCTCCTCCTCCTCCTCCTCCTCCTCACCCCGCTTCCTCCTCTTCTTGCGTCCCCTCCCCCCTCCCCCTCCTCGTCCTCGTCGCCCTCTCCTCCCTTTCCCCCTCGCCGCCGCCATCTCCTCCTCCTCCTCCTCCTCCTCCTCCGCATGCTGATCAGGCGCCCTGAGGGAAGAGCTTGTTCTCTGGGGTGGGGCCGCGAGGAGCAGAAGGCGGATACTGCTGAATAGGGAATGGGGAGGCAGAGGCAGAGGGAGAGGTAGGGGGTGAGGAGGGGGTTCGGCCCAGAGAGCGAGCCACCGCTTCTCCCAAACGAACAGCTGGAATCATCGAATCTCGCCTCTGACGCAAACCCTTTGCGATAGATATTCCCCAATCAATGGTTACACTGAAGGGGTCCTGGTTTCCCCGGTGCCTCGTCAATGGTTCCGGTCCAATTTCGGTGGGTTCCGAGTTCCCGGGTTCCCGGGTTCCCGGTCGATCTCCTTATCGATCTCTTTATCGATCCCAGTCCAAACCATCCATTGATTTGGTTTTCTCATTGAAATTACCTCCACCTCTCTCTTTTCCTCTTGCTCTCTCGAACATCGCAGGGCCGCAGCGCTAAATACGCCCATCCCTACCGCGTCTGTCCAGCAACTGTGCCAAGCCTACCCCACCTTCCGCGACGGGCCCAGCAATCACGAATGATGTCTTGGACAGAGACCAGTCTCCTGACGATGAATGCAGCGCACGTCGTGCCGCTAACCTGCGGCTCGCAAGATGCAAGGACATGTGGCCCATGCCCTGTCGCACGGGCCACGTTCATGGACAAGCATGAGGACGACGGGTGCCCTTGCCACATGGGCACTCCCATCTCCCCTCCCTCTTCGCAGGAGGGCGCGAGGATGGGAGTGCGGAGGAGGATGGGTGGCGAGCATGAGGGCGAGGTCCTCGACCTCATGCTCGCCATACCCCCGCGTCTCCGCATCGGCAGGCAAGCGCGGGCGCCTCCCCCGAGAGAATGAGCGCGCCGCACAGCTGGCTCGCGCCCTCTGCTCTCTCTCTCTCTCTCTCTCTCGAGAGAGAGAGAGAGAGCATCAAAGCGGAGGAAGAGGACATCGAGCACCGAGGATCGAGGAAATCGAACACCACCTCCTCATGGAAATCGACGATCGAAGCGGAGGAAGAGGAGGAGGAAAAGGAGGAGGAGGAGGAGGAACGAAGAGCGAGGAAGAGGGAGTCGGACCGTAGTGCAACGCTCACACCCCTCAGGGTATGCACAACCGTTTCTATGTCGGGTGGGGCCCCTGGGCTCTCCCATCCTTGATCGTTGGTGCTGGTGTCGTGGGTCGTGATGAGACAGGTGTATTCCATGTATGGCACCCTAGACTGGTGGCAATTATGTGCGCTCCACATGCGCCGTGGTAGCCAACTCTGCTCACATCATCCTGATAATCTCCTCGACAGTGGGTCAACAAGTGTAGAGGGTATGCAGAACCGCCGGCATTGCCGCAAAGCTGCGCCCTGGATGCCAACGCCCCCCATGGGAACGGATCGGCTAGAACGGACAAGTTCACCAACTACAGAACTCCTGATCTATGAACAAGCTGTTCAACACGTGCTAGGCTGGGAAAGGCGTGCTCCCAGACAGCTGTGTCAGGGTGCTTCTCGGTGGAAGGGCCAATACCCCAGCATGAGGAGCATCACGGTATCCCAAAACATGAGGAGCGCACTTGAGAAGGAGGAAGCGAACATGCGCAAACCAACTGCAATACCATGCCTGGTATTCGCAGCGCCAATAGAACACTCTTCCAATGTGCAAGGCTGCGGAATGCCCCACTCCCATTACAACAGTATCAGAGTGCTGCCCTGTGGAAGGGACATTGCCCAAGCATGAAACGTATCCCGGTGTCACACAACATGAGGAATTCACTTGAGAAAAAGAAATCGAGCATGCGGCATCAACTGAACTGTCATGTCTGGTACCTATACGACCACCATTCGTGTGATGAGGAGGTTCGGGGGGGAGAACCAACGTCTCACTCAATCGATCTGACTATCGATCTCACCATCGCTATCACTATCGATCTGACTATCGATCTCACTATCGATCTGACTATCGATCACACGACCAATATCACTATCGATCTCACTATCGATCTCACTATGGATCTCACTATCGATCTCAGCATCGATCCCAGTATCGATCTCACTATCGATCTCGCTATCGACCTCACTATCGATCTCGCTATCGACCTCACTATCGATCTCGCTATCGATCTCGCTATCGATCTGACTATCAATATCATTACCGATGTCACTACCGATATCACAATCGATCAAAGTATCGATATTACTCGATCGATCCCACTAACGATCTCACAATCGATCACGCAATCGATCACATAATCGATCTCGCTATCCATCCCACTATCGATTTTACCACCGACCTCCCTATCGACTTCACGGCTTCATGGTCGATCTCACTATCGATCTTACTATCGCTCTCACTATCGATCCCACTATCGATCTCCGTATCGATCTCACTAGCAATCTCGCCATCGACCTCGCTATCGGTCTCACTATCGATCTCGCTATCGATCTGGGACACCGATGGGACACCGACAGGACGCCGACGGGACACCGACGGAACTCCGACGGGACATCGACGGGACTCCGACGGGACATCGACGGGACTCCGACGGGACATCGACGGGACACCGACGGGACAGCGACAGGACAGCGACGGGACAGCGACGGGACAGCGACGGGACAACGACAGGACAGCGACGGGACAATGACGGGACAATGAAGGGACAATGACGGGACGCCGCCGGGACACCGACGGGAGACCACGGCGGGACAACCCGGCCACCGCCCGCCCACGGCGGGGGAGAAGCAGGCAACGACGGGACACCACGGCGGGACAACCCCGCCACCGCCCGCCCACCAGGGAGGGAGGATGGGCGGTCAACGGCTCTTGGCCCGCCCCAGCCACAGCGCAGTCATTCCTCTCACCCGCCCACGCAGCTTCGCCTCGCCCGCACGCACGTCACGAACCCGACACCGAAACCGATTTCCCAGTGGGGTGCTCTTCGCTCCACTGCGATCTCGCACCCGAACCTCCGATTCACTGGAAAGTACTCGTCAAGTGTGCGAGGCTGGGGAATGCTGACTTCTGTGCAACTGTATGAGGATGCTGCCCGGTGGAAGGGCCGATGTTCTAGCATAACGTGTTTGATGGTATCACAAAAAATGAAGAGCGCATTTGAGAAAACAAAAGCGCACATGTAAAAAGCAACTAAATTAGAATGCCTGGCAATCGCCGCGACAAGAAACCACACTTCAAATGTGCCAGGCTCGGGAAGGCCCACCCCGTACAGCCGTATCAGGGCGCTGCGCTGTGGAGACCCATGCGCCGTGCGAACGTGCATTGCGAAGGCAAGACCGCAGGCATTGCCGTCGGGCTCTGTGTTCTGGAGGCCAAAGCCACTGCTGGGAACGGAATCGCTAGAGCGGACAAGGTCCACGAAGTAAAAGGCTACCATTATTTTCTAACGCTTTCGAACGTGCAAAAATTGGGGAAGGCTTACCCCAAGACAGCCGTGTGAACCATAACGTGCGAAGGCCCGGAGCGAAAGCAGGACCGCCAGCATTGCTACCCTGTGTCCTGTTGGCTAACGCCTCGTCTGAGGACGGAATCGCTAAAACGGACAAGCCCACGAAGCGCAGAACTGCAGACTGCCGCTGTGTGAAAACACTTTCCATCGTGCTAGGCCCTAGACTGGGGAAGGCGCGCCCCCATATAGCCATATCAAGGCGCCGCCTTGCGGAAATCAACGCGTCGTCGTGCGAGCGTGCGCTGTGAAGGCAAAGCCGCCGGCATTGCCACTAGGCTGTGTCCTGCAAGCTACACCCCCTGCTGGAAACAGAACCGCTAGAACGGGCGAACTCACGACATTCAGAGCGATCCAATATTTTCAACGTGCTCAGCTGAGGAAGGCTCACCCCTTATGCAGCCGTGTGAAGCATAAAGGCGTCGCTCTGCGGAGGTGGATCGTGCGTGCCACAACCAAGCGCAAAAGACTGGGGAATGCCCACTCACCTCAATACGGGCATATCAAGGCGCATCCGTCTGAAAATGTGTACCTCGCGAAAATATGCACACGACCGCCGGCATTGCTGCCGGGCTGTGTCCTGAATGCAAGTCTCTGCTGGAATCAGAATCGCAAAAACTGACAAACTCACGAAGCCAAGAACTGCCGTTCCAAGACCGCTTGGTCTGACAACGGGTCCGCGAGACCTGACATACTCACGAAGTAAAGAGCTCCAACTCCCTGACGCAAGAATATGCTGGGGCTGGGGGGAGTCCAGTCCCATGCAAACCCTACCAAATACCAAGGCGCTGACCTAGGGGGGACACCAACCACGTGCGAGCGTCCAATGTCCAATGTGAAACCAGGACCGCCGGAATCGCCGCCAGGCTATGTCCTGGAGGCTAGCACCAAGTCCGCGGACGGAATCGCTAGAACGGACAAACTTACACAGAAGACAGTTGCCGTTCTAATACGAAACATGCAAGCGCGCAAAACAAAGGGAAAGGTTCGCCCCAAGACAGCCGTATCGAAACGCTATGCAAGCGCTGCCCTTTGGAATCTAATACCTCGTACGAACGCGCATTGTGAATGCAAGACGGCCGGCGTTGTCACTGGGCTACGTCCTAGAGGAGGCTACAGCATCGACCAGGAACGGAATCTCTAGGAAGGACAAGCTTGCGAAGTGACAAGCTACCGTTCTACGAACTAACTTGGTAACGTGATAGACTGCGAAAGGCGCGCCCCCATTCTGCCGTATTAAGATGCTGCCCTGTGGACGGGCCAATGCCCCAGCATGAAGTGCATCATGGTATCAACAAAAAAGAACGCGCTTGACGAAATCAAAGCGGAAATGCGCAAACCAACTGAACTATAATGCCTGGTTTCGCCGCGGTACGAACACACTCTTCAAATGTGCACGACTGGGGAAGGCTCACCCCCATACAGCCGTATCAGGGCGCTGTCTGGTGGAAGGGCCAGTGCCCTAGCATGAGGGGTTTCACGGCATCACAAAAAATGAGGAACGCACTTGAGGAAAGTCAAAGCGAAAATGTGCAAACCAACTGAAACAGAATGCTTGGCAATCGCCGCGACAAGAAAACAGTCTTGAAATGTGGAAGACTGGGTGGGGAAGGCCCACCCCCATACAGCTGTATCAAGGCGCTGCCCTGCGAAGGTATAGACCTCGTGCGAATGCCAAAAATAACCTGATTTGTAAGGCCAGACTGAAAGAACCTGGACGCGTTGTCCAGCTTCCTATCGCTTCGGGGATCCCTGGGGCGCAAATCGACGCCCCTTAAAATCGATACAACATTGCGCTCTGGGGTGCAAATAGTGCCGCTGACCGTTCCCACGCGATGAATCCCCCCGAGAGCGCGATGACGGCTCGGCTGCCAGCTAACGAGACGGATTCAATGCATAGCGCTTGTTCGCCACAGATTTCGATCGCAGAGGCGACGCCGAAAAGTGAAGCGACGTGCCCCGAATCTCACGAAGCTGCCACGAGAGGGCGCGGGGCTCGCGACAAGCGGGGCATCTCGAGGAACGGCAAAGGCGGGCGTCCAGAACGCCGCGTCATGAACCCAAAAGTCCATGACCAATACGTCCATGTACTCAGAACCGCGGCAAACAGAACGCGGGCTTCGAAGATCGGGAAGGTCTGAAGCGCGCCTCGAAACGAGCGCGCGGCGTTGGGAGAAGGAGGGCGAGGAGGAGGAGGAGGCGGAGGCGGGGCGCAACGGGCGTGGGCACGGAGCAGCTCGTGCCCGCCTGGGACCGGGCTCGGGCGGGCGGCTCTGTCGAGGCAGCCCGCCTCGACGGAGGAGGAGGAGGAGGAGGAGGAGGAGGAGGGGGGAGGAGGAGGAGGAGGAGGAGGAGGAGGAGGAGGAGGAGGGGGAGGAGAGGGGGGAGGAGGAGGAGGAGGAGGAGGAGGAGGAGGAGGAGGAGGAGGGAGGGGGGAGGGGAGGGGGGAGGAGGAGGAGGGAGGAGGGAGGAGGAGGAGGAGGAGGAGGAGGAGGGGGAGGAGGAGGAGGAGGAGGGGGGAGAGAGGATATCGAGAGGGGACGGGGGGCCGCAGGCAGCCCCATCCGCTCTCGCGCCGCCTGCCCCATCCCGCCAGCGCCGCACCCCTCCACTCCTGCGCGCTCGCGCCCCCTGCTGCCCTGCCCCTCGCCTTATGTTGCTCCCATCGTACTTCAGGACCACATTCCAGAAATAGTTCTGAGCACCCAGAAACGTGTCGAAAGAGTGTCGAAAGAGTGTCGAAACAGTGTCGAAACAGTGACTCCCAGGGCCCGACACGTGAAAGCCCTCAAGTTGTTGCGTACCTTTCTGGCGCTCGAAATTCTTTCTGGTGGTCAAGGCTAAAGCAGGTTGGAACATCAGAGCCCTCGCCCCACCTCGCCCAGGCCGCGCGGCGGCGCCAGGGCTCCCTTCCCATGCGGTCCAGGCGCGGCCAGCGGTCTTCGCATGGAGGCTCCTGGGACGAGTGCCCCTCAAATTTGCCCCTGCACCTTCTGTTTGGGCGCCCATTGCGAATTCAAGGGGCGCGCTTCTGGGGCACCGTGCGCGGACACATGCAGGGGTGCATCAAGGAGCGCATTAGGGGACACCTCAAGGCACACATTAAGGGGCACATTAAGGGACGCGTTAAGGGGCACATCAAAGTGCACATTGAAGCGCGCCGAAAGCTTTCTTGATTCCCCAATTTGGACACGCTTCAACCACGTCACAACTCCTTCATTATCACCGTTCTGTTCGCGGGAGACGAACGCCGAAACGTCGCGTGGAAACAAGAAATGGCGCATTTTCTGGCGCGCGCAGAGCTCAACACGGAATCGCTGACAATTCGGCGAACAAGATTGAAACCGCGCGCGTAGCGCGCAAGAATGGCCATGAATTGCGAGCGCGGTTCTTCATTGCTGCTTGAACGTTGTGCGCGGATGGATCTTCGGAAGTGGACGATGCAGGGCGGGGGATCACGGGAACGCCTAGGGTTGGCAACAATGGCAAATGAAGACACTTTTCTTCGTGATGATCAAGTGCGTCAGAAGGAAAACGAACGCAGAAGCAAGGCAATCGCAATCGGCGCGCGCAACAATCGGGGCAGCAAAACAAGCAACCAACGAACAACCATTAATGGATCATGGCAGTTGTGGGACCCCCAAGATCCCCGCCCTCAATCCTGATATGTCGAGCGAACAACTGATCGCCCGATGTGGCAATTCTCAATTGGGTTAGGAAGGTCCCGATTTGAAACCGGATTGCCTATATCGCCCAGGCCCCAAGATCCTCGTCCTGAGTCCTGATATGTCGAGTGAACAACTGATCACTCGATGTGGCAATTCTCAATTGGGTTAGGAAGGTCCCGATTTGAAACCAGATTGCCTATATCGCCCCGGTGACGTAAATCCAGAGGGCTCGGGGGAGGTGCTCTCCGGAGACCACAGGATGTCCTCACGGGCACCCCGTGCGTCTTCCCCGACTACTCTACAGGAGCCCTGCGCACCATTGGCACGGGGAGAGGGCGGATGAGGAGGAGGTGGAGGAGGAGGAGGACGAGGAAGGAGGAGGAGGAGAAGGAGGAGGAGGAGGAGGAGGAGGAGGAGGAAGGGGAGGAGGAGGAGGCCCCTCCTCTTCATCCCTTAGGAAGGACACCAGCCAGCCATCACGCCCTGCACCTGCCCCCACCAGGCCGGCCCTGGACCAGAGAGGGGTGCAGACGCTCCCGTGGCGAGGCCTGGATAGGTCGGGCACTCGTTTGCGGAGGGCACGGCGCATGGGGTGAAGAAGAAAAACCACGCAAACATAAACTTTTGGCGCTCCGCGGGGATTTCTTGGATTCGCGCCGGACCCCCCTCCCTGGCGCGCGGAGCGCGCCAGGGGCGGCGCCCGAGGCGCCGCCGGGGGGCCCAGGCGCGGGTCCAAGAAATCCGCGCGGAGCGCCAACGGTTTATGTTTATGTGGGTTTTTCTTCTCCGGCTACAATAAGAACTGGTGTCTAACCAGGGCTGCCCCAGGAATTCTTCACCAGATCTCTCTCTCTCTCTGTGGTGTGAGGCATCTCCTGGGCCCGCGGTCGCAGTTTCAGGGGCCGTTCGGGGCTCAGCCAGGGCCGGCCTCCCGCGATTGGAAGAAGTACAGGGCCGAAAATCCACCCCGAGAATGATCACCCCGACACGCGAAGCCGTTTAGGAACCGAACAGGGCAGGGCTGTTGAATAAACGCCGAGGGCTGTTTAGATAACGCCAATTGTCGGGTCCGGGTGGTTTTTCCTCCCTTGAAGAAGTGAGTCGAAACATGAAGTAGCGAAGGCGTTGAAAGTAGATCGGGTTTCCGCCCACCCCCTGAAGAGGAAGGAAGAGGGAAGTCCGCTCGGATCTTGGAGTAGGACGCCTGAACCTGGGAATACAGAGATATTGTAATCGTGCTCATTTCTAATTGTGCTCGTTTCTAATTGTTCCTGGCCTGGAAGAGGCCCAGGATAGAACAATTAGAAATGACAGGTTTCTGGCCCCCAAAAATCAAAGAACTCTCGAAAACTGAGGAATGAACTATATGTATCTACGTTCAACGATCAGTGGGTACATTTATTGTCCACACGTTGCCGACCGCCCGAGCACACCGATCCTCCCCTCTGGCTCCCAAGTTGCAGGTCGAGGTAGTAGTGACTGCGCGTGCTCGTTTCGATCGAGTTATTTGTTTTGCTTGCCTGCTGGAACCCACGAGAGGTCTCTCCGCACGTCGACGTTCACCTTCTCCCCCCAGCCTTCTCCCGCTGCTGTCCGTGTCCCCTTTCAGCCCTTCTGCCAGCCAGCGTTGTCCCGCCGCCTGCAAATACTCCTGCTGCCGCTTGTCTGCAAGCTAGGTAGCTTGCATGCCCGTGCTGCTCGAGGTCTTCTGCGACTTCGCAAAAGATGGACAAACCAATGCAAGTTTTTTGAATTCAAAAAAACAAATTTTGTGATTTCAAAAACCCAATCAACCTCGACCTCCGCCTTCCAGACCTTCCGCGCGAGAGCTGTCGTGGCCGCAACGGTGGCCGCGGCAGCCACCACGACCACGCCGCGGCGGCGCCTGGGCCGAGGTCTGGGCCGACGCATCGGCTTTCGCTCACGCGGTTGGCGGACCCCCAGCCAGGATCCATCTTGGCCAGCTTGTTAGGCGCGCCCAGCCGTGGCCACGAGGGTCCCCAAGCAGGCCCAAAGAACTTCCGAAGCCTCGATCCTCCAACCTCGACCTGCCACGCAGAGAGACCCCTGGACAAGCGCGACCCTCAGTGCGCGGCGTTTGGAGGCCGAGGGGGGGAAGGGTCAGCTGCAGGCGCACAAGCACCGCCTCGGAGCAGGGCGAGTGGAGACGCCAGCAACTCAGAGTCGGTCCCCAGACCCCTCTGGGGGTCCAAACGCACCAGCCTGGAACATTTCCCTATCCCTATGCTGGGCATCTCCTCATCAGGATGCCAATCTTAGGGATTCCCTGATTTTTTGAGGGCGCATCCCTAAGATTGTCATCGCTTTTGGGCGTGTCAAGCTTAGGGATAGGGATAGGTTCGAGGCTGGTAACAAACGCACCAGTTTTCTGGGCTGCGTCCAGCCGTGGCGGCGGGGGTGCCCCGTGAAGGCCAGCTGCCGTTGCCCCAGCCCGCCCGTCTCCGAGTGCCAGGGGGGCCCCCGCGGGCCCGCACCAGAGCTCAGCCTGGCGAGGGGCCACTCCCACGCGCAGCCCGCTCGAGGGCAGTGCGGGAAGGGCGCCCGCCCCGCGGGGGCCGGGGGCATCGCCTTCGTCGTCGGTGTCGTCGTCGTCATCCTCGTCGTCGTCGTCGCCGTCGTCGTCGCCCGGGGCCGGGGCATCGCCTTCGTCCTCCGCGTCCCAGCCCACCGCGCGCAGCTCGAAACCCCAGGCCGCGGGCGGGTCGGCGCCGCGCGAGACGTGCTCCCAGGCCAGCGAGGCCGCGGAGCCCCCGCCCTCTGGCGGGGGCTGCGGGCTTGCGGGCGGCGGGCCGCGCTTCCACCGGGTCCGCCGACCTCGGCCTGTGGTGGAGGGCAAGAGAGCCGCCCTCGTGATGAGCACCCCGTACTGGCGAAGCCCAATGGCAAACGCAACCACGGAGAGCATCGACCAGGGCAGGGGCCGTTCGGTGAACGCCCAGGGCTGCTAGCGGGAAGGAGGAGGTGAAGGAGAAGCGGGAGAGGGCAAGCTGACTTCCCCACATACACGTCCTCAAGGCCTGGACTTCCGGCCAAGTGCGCTACCGCTGGCCCCACACTGTCCCCTCCTCCCTCTCGTCCCCCTTCCCCCCCTCCCCCCCTGCCCCCTATCGCTCCTCTCCTCCTTCCCTGCCCTCTCGTCCACCTCCCCCCTCGCCCCCCTCTGCCCTCTCGTCCATCTCCCCTCTCTTCTCCCTCTTACCCCTCTCCCGCCTCTCCCCGCCTCGAGGGCTTGGGAAATTCGCGTTATTCGACACTCGAGCAAATAAGGGCGGACAGTCTTAAACTGATTGTTGTTGTTGCTGCTGTTGTTCGACATAGCGGCAGACGGCGGGACATCTGGCGGAACAGGTGAGGGCACGGGGTGCGAGTGTCGGCCTGCAGCGGCCGCCCCTCTCCTTCCCCCTTCCTCCCTCCCCCCTCCCTCTCCCTCTCCCTCCCTCCTCCTCCCCTCCCTTCCCCTCCCCCTCCCCTCCCCTCCTCCCCTCCCCCTCCCTCCCTCCCCCTCCTCCCCCTCCCCCTCCCTCCCCCTCCCTCCTCCCTCCCCTCCCCTCCCTCCCCTGCGCCCCTCTCCTCCTCCCTCCCTTCCCTCTCCCCCTCCTCCCCCCTGTGGCCAATGGGCGAACTCTCGTTATCAATTCTAGCGCTTTGTGGGCTTCTCCCTCGGTTTTGCCCCGGGCCTACCCCAGCTAGAACTCGAATCGAGAAAGAAAGGCTCGAACGCCCATTCCAACGTCAGCCGCCGGCCCTCCCTCTCCCCCCCTTCTCTCTCGGCAACACGGGTGACCCTTGGTGGGGGCCCATCCCCAAGCGCGCAAGCCGCCGCTGCCGCACGGCACTCCGCGATCGAGGTGCCCCCAATGGGCCCGCACCAAAGGTCGTTCCGACGAAAGGTCCCTCAGCTTTCGGGCCATGGCTTGGGTCTCTTGCGGCCGCTCGGGACGCTTGGTACGCTCTCGGCGAGGCGCATGTACTACAACGCATCCCGAGGCAGGAGAACCTTCACAGGAACGTCCGAAAACGTCCGCCTCTCGAGAGGACGCAACGCATCACGAGGCAGGAA